TTACTGGCCTATCAACACAATTTAAAAACTGGTATAAAGTCCACACTTTTCCGTCAATTGTTCCGTCTGTCCTGCTCACATCTCCAATGGTTGTACACGTTGTCATTAACGTGGCTTCACTCCACATCAGCCACGCTTTGCTAGCTAAAACACCGGTGTCGGCACATAAGGACGCTGTCATAGCCTGTCAACGACGTTGATTAGCTGCGTATATACAAATGTGAATCGCATTATTGGCTGGACTATGGGATAAGGTGGCAGCCAGTCACTTACTGACTAACACTGCAAAACAGAATTGTTAAAGTTTTAATTTTAATTTCAATTCAGGTTCGATTTTTTTTGTGTGCACAACACATATGTTCTGTGCGCAGAGACCGTGCCAGAAGTGCGCAATTGCGCAGCTTAGAGGGAACATTGATCAAGTGTTCCTTTAATTTTATTAAGCAGTTTAAATTGAACCAAACTGTACCAGCTTTGCGGGTGAAATTTAAGACTTAATACCTTCTGAAGACTTTTCAGAAAAAGCTGCATTTTAAGAGCAGCAGACACCATGACAAGCCTTGCAGATGTAAAACATGAAAAATTTGCAGGTGTCTATGAAATCGTACCCTGTTGGCAAGCGGCAAAAATCTGACAAAAGCAGCAATGGGAGCCACCATTTTCATGATCATCATGACAAGGTCCACATTCACCTCGGAGACCTCCACACTCAGCAGCCGGTCCTCCAGAGACTCAGACTGTGGAACATGCTGAAAAACAACCAGTGTTAAGATCAGGGAGACCCGAGCCTGCTGCTTTTACAGGACAGATTTATGTGACTGCTGACTTACAGTGCTGCTCCATTTCATCATGCTTCTGTACATGCTCTCCTGTGAAAAGAGTAGAAGATGAAAGCGGCTCACATCAATTAGTTATCCTCTGTTTGTAAAATGACTATTGAATAACTCTCCTCCTGGTTAGAGTGTTTTTAATGTTCTATTGACCCCATTTCATAAGATAAAGATTGGACTCCACTGTAAGTGAGAAGTAACTCGATCCTGGTTTGCATCTTTGTGGCAAAGGATTCATACTTCAGGACAGTAACGACATAATATATAACCAAAGTTCTGCAGGAACTATTTGATGCTTTTTGAGTCTCAGTGACTTTCCGCAACAGTCGTCAGACCTCAATTCCTCTTAACATGTAGCTGTGGAGAGAGATCTCACAAAGGGCCTGAATAGCTAGCCCGCAAGGAACCTTGAGATGGGAAACGCTGAAGCTAGAAGGTTAGCAGCAACTGAAGTTTCAAAATAAGTGAGGGCATTGCTTAATAGTCAGTGAAACACTCCATAACCTATGTCTGGGTCTTTAACGTTTACACAGGACTGACTTCACAAGAAGCTCTGTGGAAACTTTAAAGTGGTGGCGGAATGACGTGGGCTGTCGTCTATGAACAGAAAAGTGGATAAAGTTCATGCAGCTTTTGTGCTGCTGTCGCAAAAAGGAAGGAACAAATCCAGACAAAATAATAATAAATACTTGATATGAAATTCATGCATATGTTCCCTGTTTTTCATTTCTACTAAATTGGGCAATTCCCTAGTGAAGGATGATGCTGTGCTCACTCCTTAGAGGAGAAATCTTTTTTGATTGGGAACTGTATAGTTTGAGTGAAACAGGAGCATGCCCCTGATTTAACAGCCCCCGATTGCTCCATTTTCATACCTCACTTGAACCAGGATGCATGTCTTTTAAAACAATGTGGATTCCTAGTCTCCACTCTCCAACTGTAACTGGATCTTTGAGGTAATCTCTGGCGAAATCGCAGCATGCATCCCAGCTGTTAAAAAACACAAAGGCCTGGAGAGGAAGAAAGGGGAAAAAATGACGCAGAGGAAACATTCAATATTAATCATTAAATTGAATTAAATTTGCAAATGCAAATTTCTCTGTATCAGCCTGCTGGGTCTACTCCTCACCCTCCTCTGCAGTGATAAAACGATTATGTTGTAGTACAGAGTCTGAACAGTCTGATCAGGGAAGTAACGCCACACCAGCTTGGCAACATCCTCCTGTCTGTAGTTTCCTTCTGGCAAACCGGTCAACATGATCGTGGAGAACGTAGAACCTTGAGATTGGGCTTTCTACAAGACACAAGGTTCAAGAACCAAAGTTTATGTGAAGAGAAACTTTGCAGCACTTTTTAAAAAAATATATTACTATAACTGACCACATAGAGAAGACAAAATGAAACCAAGTTTAGCAGAAAAAGAGAAATGTGGCTTTTGAGGTCGGTATTTGGAAAAATGGACGCCTCTTGGTATTTACTCAAGGATTCCTGTTTAACACATGAAACCTTGGTTTATAAAATGCACTCACCTCAATGTCATCAGGTTCCCTGACAGTTAAATACTCTAGAAGTGTAAAACACACACAGTTAGTAACAGTCAACACTTTATATCTGGAGGTTAATTTTAGTTTCTCTCACCTGGGATTGTGAACCAAGGAGCGACAGTGGGGAACACAAAGGGATTAGTTGTCATTGTGATCCAATATGGTGAAGTGCTGCGTTGTGGGATGATCACATCTTCTGTTGGGACAGCTGCCCCGTCAACAGCAACATCGCTGTCTGGCAAAGCTTTGTGTGGCAATCTTGGTGCTGCACAAGAAAAAATAAGTTTTGTTTAATTTGTGTGTGTGTGTGTGTGTGTCAGGTTTTTAACTGACTTTCAGTTTAACTTTAAGCACCTTTACAGATACCCAAGGTATCATAGGCATCAGGAAAAAAATGATTAGAGAGTTAGACCAAATGCCAGTCTGAAAAAGTGGAGTTTAAGTAATGGCTCTGGTTCATGTGTCTAGGGCAGAGATAAGCAGAAGGGAATTGACCGCTGATGGAGCAAAGATTTCTGGAGGGACCAGAAAAGAGGTCAGAGAGATAACAAGGCAAATGAGCATCAAAGGATTTGTGGGAAGAAGAATCACAGTGTTAGTGAATCAAAGTTGAGGGAATGTGTTGCAATAATTTATTGTGGATGACGATAAAGCAGCAGTTTTGCATATGTTGCAACATTTCTCGGACTTCGCTTTATCCAGAGTCCAGGGAAGAACTGAAAAATATATCCATGACTGTTTCACAAACAGAAAGTGAAGGAAAGCTTATTATCCAGACTCTGTGTGATAGATGTGATGTGTTTCCATGATGGTGGAGATGGAAGCAGCTGGTGCAGCACTGGAGACAAAATAGATTTTGCAATATCTGGTAGTGAGGAGCCACAGCCCTGAGCTCAATCATACTGTTGAAATTTTTGAGGAAACTTCAGAATAACCGGGGTTACTGGCAGTGTTAGTTATTTCGGACATGACTACTTGTATTTCAGTATTGATAAAACTGAACTCTGAAAATATCTCTAAGTTCCTCTTTTATGACTTTAGACTTCTCCTCGCAGGGGGTTTAGTGTTGGCTTTCAGTTCTTCAGCAGTCATGCCTGCCGTTTCAGTTAGGTCGGATGAGACCTAGTTCGATTCATCTGTATCATGTTGGCGCGTGGTTCTTGCAGGCCGCGAGGTGTCTTCTTTCCACCAGAAAGTCCCACAGTAGTCTGTGGTTCGGCCCAATAAGTCCTTATTTTGCTCTCTAAGCAAACTTTAGGAGTTCAGAAAGTGGAATGTGACATTTATGAGAGAATTTTTCAGAATTCTGCAGCTCTACCAAGTTGTGTGTTACACCATGTCTTGCTCTATAGCGCCCCTGATTAGTTGGAATTTAATCTGTCTCTAGTATCAGTATGCTTTTGCCACTCCTTGTAATCTTCAATTCACTTGCTTTTTTTGTGCATCACCCACTAAGACGACAATATTTGCCGTATTGTCCAAAGACGAGAGTCTCTTTGGACAATACGACCAATGTATAAAAAGTATAACTCTTAAGCTTGCCTTCTAGAAGACCATGTAGATCTTTAAAGCATGCAAATGTACCTCACCCAAAGCAATCCCACAGTACAGGAAGGCCAACAGGACAAAAGCAGCTACCCTTACCAGACAGGTTTTACAGCCAAAAAACAACCCACCATATTCAGGGTATTACCAGATGACCTTCCATCAACTTCACCTTTTCCCCCCGTTTAAATCACATTTATTTAAAACCCCATTCAAAACACACTTACGCAGTGACGTAAATCCATTGTGTGGTATTTCCACCCTTGACAATTTGTGGCCAGTGGCCTGTTTTAGAAGGCTGTACCAAACACCAAGGCGATCAGCATCACACACAGACTCAAATTCAATTAACACCTGAAACACAAGAAAGATAAAATTTACTCTAAACATTTTAATTTCACATTCTAAATGGTAGAAAATGGAACACATGGAAACAGTGAGCTAAGCACAGCTTTATTGTGGAGTTCGCTGGATTCAAAAGTCAGAAATCCTGGCTCAATGAAGCACTGGAGCCGTGCTCAACGTGACCCCTGCACTAATGCTCTAATGTGATGAACACTAGTGCGCATGAGCATATGAAGGATCATGTGCTACAGCGAACAGATTACCTGCAGTCTCTCTTTACTATCTTTAAAGTTTTGCAGTTGTGCTTTCATCAAGATAAGTAGCATCCAAAACCAGTCAAATTATCTTGTTTTAATGTGTCTGTCAATTTTGGGGGGATAGTTAAGAATACACTTACATAAACACATATCTCATACAGCCTTTCACAGAGTTTTAAAACATGCACTTGTTGCTGCTTATAAGTGTGTTTATACCTTGTTGAGAAGAGGCAGGTAGTTTCTTACAATACCTATTTTTCCCAAAGCTTCTCTGAGATCCCGGGACTCGTCTGGTGAGATGTTCCTGATGTAGATTGTCCGTGCTCCAATATCTATCCCTGCCTGTTTCGAGAAACCCGGGTGAACATTAAAACAAACCAGAAACAGTATTTAGTTTAACAATATTTCATGCTTTCTTAAACTACAGTTCCAAGATCAAGGTCATAAGTTTGCACATATAGTCACACAGCAGTATGCACCCTGGCAGCTATCTTCATTATCCAAACAATTTATAATTGCAGCTCTTGCTTTTGTTGATAACATTGTTTGAGAAAATATTTAAACTTAGCTGTGTACACAGAAAACCACTTTTGGCCCTTTCCTGGGTTCTTAGTTTTTTGCATGTTTCAAATTAAATAAAATAAAAAAAAACACACACAAAAAAAACACATTTTTTTAAAATACAAAATGCAGTTTTGAATGAGGATTTAACTTATTGCAGGAAAAAAGTTATCCAAACCTTTCCTAGCCATGTGTTAATATATGCTCATATTTTTCAAGGTGTTTTGACTTGGATGTGAGTGCTGCCAGTTATAACTTTATACTCTATACTTTATAAGGTATTCTAGTGTAGTCTTTGTTTCTGAGATATGTGTGCGTGTTACCTTCTTAACATAACACAGCAGATTCATCAGATATGTATAAAACTCAAGCTGAAAGAAAAACAAATAGTTAAAAGTCATTACATGAAATAAATGTTGGATTCTGTTAAATTGATTTCAGTTCAAAGAGTATTTTTTATTACTTATAGCCTCTACAAAATATTACTTTTTTTTTTTTTTACTTACAACCACATTTTAAATAGATTGAACATTTAAAAACATCAGCTTGCTTTTAAGGATATTGTTTCCATCAACAAGCAGAAACAGATATTTTCAATTATTTTTAATAACATATCTCACAACAGTAAAGTGTATTATCTAAACACAGTGCTCACCGGGGTCTTGAAATTCAAATTCCTGCGCTTCACAACCTGCAGTCGAAGTTTAGACCCATTGAGAAAAAATTTACGTTTATTTTCTGATGCTAGCACGATGTTTTTGGCTGCCACTGCTGTCGGCATGAGGGCAAAAGCCTGAAGGAAAAACAAACAAACACTGTGCTCACAAAATACGTAATAACTAAATGTTAGTTAGGTCGTCTTAGAAAAGACATTTAGAATCCCATTAAAATGAAGGTAATAATCCAGCCCAATGCAAATTCATGGCCTGGTGCTTACCATGCGCGCCTGTGGTATAACGTAGATCGTATCGTCGTAATATTCAAATCTGTGTGGAGTGAGCAGATCGGCGATGTCCTCCTCTAAATAACAGCCATCACGATACTCTGGCAGGTTGCTTATTAACAGCACCTTGCAATTAAGCGAAACAAGCTGTGCAAAAGAAAAGAATAAAGTCAGAGTTTTAGATTAGTTTACAATTGAAGAAATTCCGGACAGAAATCTCAAAAAGGCAAAACATTCAGTTAGAAACTGTGCCTCACTTTGAGCACTGTCTACAACTATGAACACAATGAGGTACATCAGAATAAAATACTGAGTACAAAATGTTTCTGATGCTGATTTTGGGTTGACTTTTTTTTTTTTTTTTTTACACAGTACAGCTCAACCTTGACTCACTGATAAAAAAAGGCAGTAAGAGTCAGCTATGAAAGTATTTTTCATTCATTTAAGGTGGATCCTTAAAGAGTGATAACTGATTCACAAAAGGAAATGTGTAAACAGCACTATTGCGCTTTTCAAACTCAGGAAGGAAAAACTGTTTCTGTAGTAGACTGCTTAAAAAGAAAAGCTGGGCTTCTATTAATTTGTGAGGAACTTTCATCTCTTATGCTTCTTAAAAGGTTCTTTAGTTCTAAAACAACTTGCTGAGGTAGTCAAGCCCCCTACTTAAACCCCTATTTTTTTAAGCACTCAAAACCACCATGTCCTGGATGATTGTGCATATAATTTGAACATTTCAAATTAGCTTTTTAATAACAGACTTTTTTTTTTTTGCCTGTCCCGTTTGGCTCTTTTGCCATCAGAATTGTTGTCTAAAGGCAAAGAAAGATGCCCAACGGATTTACTTTACCAAATTGACCATCCCAGCCTTGCCATAATGGTCCATTTGATTCACCTTTTATTGTTTATTTTATTTTCATTTGCTGAATACGGGACAGACTTGACTGGGGGAAAGAAGGGGAGAAGGAAAGAGGGAGAGAAAAAAAACAGCTGAGAAGAGGGACGGGGGAGAAGGGCAAAAAAACCCAAAAACCAACAGAATGAGCAGAGAGAGGAAAAAAAAAATGCATATATCGATCACCTGG